GTGACGAAGTTTGATTTCTGGCCACGGCTACCATCAGTGGCCGAGTGATATCTGAACCGGTCCTGTCCCCTCCCACTTCAACAACCCAGCGTAGTGAAGTATGGTCAAACAACCATCCAACAGCTGATTAATCAAAGGTTGTAATAATTATTATCGTTTCAACTTTATAAAAGTATGAAGTTAAAGAGTCTGCTCAAACTAGCAGTAGAGGAAATTCCACATTCCTATGGCAGGGGTAAGTCTTCTACTGTACTGAAGAGTTGATCGCTGAAATGATCTTGATCCCGACCCTGACGCCTGCTGTGTATTTTGAGTTTCCGTGTTCTCGTCGTGGTCGTGTGGATGTTTCTCCGTGTCCTTCGGTTTGTCCACATTTAGAAATATGCGTTTAGAGTATTTGACTGCTATACATTTCCACACGATAAGCCACTTCGTTGAGCTATCATTTGTGATAGCAATGTCGTTTCTGAAAAAGAGCCATATAGCTCAGGGGGCCTTACCTGGTAAAATAAAATAAAATGTGGGTTTTTTTTTTGCTAACTCCCAACGCACACGACAGTCGGTAGCTGCCTGCTCACTGCCAACCGAAGTACGAGATAAATTATAAAATAAACAAACACCCACCGCTGGCGGTGTTTCATCGCACCGGTAAAACCGGTCCGGCTGCGCTCACCTCGTGTCCGGTTCGTGGCAGAGATTATTTCCCCGGGTGAGGAGCGCTCCGGGGCTGGAGGCCGCAGGGGGCCACGCGCTCCCCTTTGTGTCGCACGCGCGCTGCCCACACAACCCACATCGAACAATACGCCGTGGGAGTCTTTGGGGACTATTGTGTCCCAATGTCCCCCGGGACTGAGAGAGAGAGAGAGGCGGCAAACTGGGGCGGCTCTCGCGAGTCGGGGCGCTCATCTCCTGCGATGTGCGGGATAACTACAACTCGGCGCGCCCCAGATCCCGCAAGACGAGCGAGCTCGAGCCTGGAAGAGGGGTCGCGAATGGGCGACCGCCGTCAGTGCCTAAGGGGCCGTCCATAAATGACGTCACAGGATTTTGGACAATTTTTGACCCCCTCCCCCTAGACACACGGTGTCACAAAAAGTCAGACCCCCCCCCCTTCAAATATGACGTCACAAAGCTCTGCCCCCTCCCCCCAAAAAATATATAAAACATGCTTCAAATCGCTTTAAACTATTGTCATTGTAGTGCGCATTTAATGTGGCGCTGCACTCTGATGTTGTAGGAGAAAACATTGATTAAAAAGTTTATTTAATTAAGTAGAACGTGTTGTCTATATTTATTTAAAGTTGTGCATTTTGATGTGACGTCACATTTCTCAAACTCCCCCCCCCCCCCGTTGTCACACATCGTCACAAATGCCTGACTCCCCCCAGGTGCGTGACGTCATTTATGGACGGCCCCTAACAGGTGCCGCGGGGGCTACGTGGCGGGCAGCGGAGGGCGGTGCAGCAAAATCTATGGTTGTGCTGTACTGCCGTGCTTCTATGCTCCCCACCTTCACGAATATCCCCTACATATCGCAAGTGCGGAGACTGTAAGCTAGCAGTGGACTTATACAATGGACTGTACGTGGACTCAAGACAAACATGATGTTCATACTTCTTATTGGTATTCGACAGCAACATTAATGATTGCTGTGGTGCTGTAGTGTGTGTGTGTGCATTAGTGTGTGTGTGTGCGACACGACACAGCCAGATATAACGGAGCATTAGAAACCAACACTAAACTATTTTGCCCAATTAGCTATCGGCTCTTTAGCAGAGGCAAACTGACCACACATGATACCTCGTCGAAGTCTCATCATATGTGCGAAATTATAGCACCAGCCAAATCATCTGAACGCATGCTTCTCATTGTGGGGGGAAAAAACCCGGAAGACCTGGAGCAGACTTCACACGACCACGGAACGAGAGAATACGCAAACATCGTCAGGGTCCGGCCTCGAACCCACGAGTCTCCGACATTCCAGGCGGAGGGACAGATAGCGCCTCGCCACCACGGCGCGTCCCATTACGCGAATGAGTTGCGCGGCGATGATGCCGTGGATAGAAACAAAAAGCTGTCCTGGAATAAGTGGCGGTGGTGGCGGGTGACGTCCAGCGAGGATGACATTGAATCGGCGTCGGAAGGGCGCCCGGGGACGTGGTGGGAACCCCAGGGGGCTCGTGGGAGTGAGGGGAGCCGCACGCGGCGGCCGCACCCAGGACACGAGGCCTCGGGTCCAAGGGAACTTCTCGTAGGGGGGTCGGCAACACCTGCGGTTCTTTAAGGACTGCTTCGTGACGTCACGTACTATGCAGGACCACCGTCTCGTATTCACCACACAGTGCATTGTGCGGCTATTCAAATACTGAGGGGTTTTTATACCGAATTTGAGACTAAAAATGTATCTTCCTTGTTATTTAGATTTGCCGGCCCCTAGCGTCGAGGAACAACGCCCCATGAAGTGCCCCAGCATCACCTTCAGTCACACGTAGGGTAGAGAGGTCCGATTGTTTTTCGTGTCATCTGATGAGTTGACCAAGCCAACCGATAATCGGTATAGTAATCCGTTTATTCGACCTGATGGCTCGGATATTGTACAATAATTATCTAAGCCCAAATCACCTCCCATGCGAAGATTAACCCCCCCCCATTATTCTTGAGTATTAAACACATTGGCAGTGGTGCAGCGGCAGTGGTGCACAAACACAATCAACCAAAACAATAAACACATTCGTTCT